TGGGGGTGGTGAGTGGTGTGGTAAGCTGGACCCTGGGTAAGCTGGACGCTCTTCTGACCACATCAGTAGAAAACTGGGGAGGACAAAAATGAGGCTAGTGTGAGATTCTGGAGCAGACACAGTCCCCAACCCACTGGGGTGGGGCACAAGGACCCTGGGAGCTGCCTACAGGTCCCTGCTAATGCAGCATGGCTTCGAGCACCCACACAAGCAGGTTTCTGAGTCCTGGCTGTCAGGGAGGCAGTCTCTGAAGGGTAACGGAGGCTTCTGCCTTTCAGTGAAGGACCAAGGAGCATCACCCAGAGCCCAGGCTCAATCAAAGCTTTCTTGCTATAGGCCAGGCTAATATAAGCTACTCTTTGTCGTGTGTTTGGTCTGGATTCCTCCTTGTCTCTGTTCCTCTCTCTGTCACTTCACTGTGTCTATCTTACTTGATCTTGAACCTTCGTATGTTGACCTTGTACCCTTAGTCTCAGCCTCTGCCTCAGACTCAGCTAAGTGCTCTGGATTCAAAGGAAAGATCCAGAGGGCCGGAGCAAACACTTGTTTTGCCCATCACTCGATGTTCTTACTGTTACATCCCTGCCCTCTCTTCATTAACCATCCCTGGGTGTGGTCAGCTCCTTCCGCCCACTCACTGGCCAGCCCCAGCCCCACCCTTGCTCCAGGCTGCCAAGGACTGCTTTTGAAGGTCAGAAAAGCCAAAATAGTCTCTGCTCTCAGCACCCCCCACCTCCCTTTAGCTACAGCCAGAGGAGAGGAGTAGCTGAGTCACCGGTACTCTGGGGAACAGGGGAACAGAAGGAGAAGAACCCTTGCTCAGATCCGGAATGCAAAGCAGCAACATGGCCATATCCCCATTTGGATAGGAGAGGCCATCTGTATAGACAGACACACACTCTGTATAAACCAGGCTCAGTCCTGAGCACCATGGAGTAGTGCCCACACCCCTTCTGCAACTTCACTGCTCTTATTTCATCCTGACTCCAACCTCCTGTCTCCTCTCTGCTTTTTAGGGCTCTCTCAGTGTTGGGGGGGCACTTTAGTAGACATTCGACTTGAGAACAAATTAACATTTCCCAACTGAAAGCAGAGTCTACCTCTGTTCTAAGCCACATACCCCTACACCGAACCTTGGTGTGTGTGTGTGGGGGGGGTCCAAGTCACAGTTGGTTTTCCTTCTCTCCCCATCTCTAAGCAGCCACAGTGAACCCTTAACCCTTAACCCTCTCTCCGGCAGCGAAACGGTGAGAGGGAGGCTTGAGCAGCCCCTGATTTCACACCTGATGCCACTCTCTGAACCACGCCACTAATGGAGTCAGTTAAACAGTCTTGGAGTTTGCTTTCTGGACTAGCAAATGAGTAGATTAGCACCTCCTTCAGCCATGCTGTGAGGACTACGTCGCCTGAGGAAGTTCCTTTTCCCCCCTAACATTGAGATGCACAAATATGACTGGATATTTCTCTCTTTGTAGAAGATTTCAGACCCTAAACCGGAATCCCAGACCAGACTGGTACTGGGGTAAACTAGGTAAACTGGGGTAAGTCTCAGGCAGAGCCCAAACTGGAGATGCTTACAGAATGAGGCTTGGCTTCTATTCATCTCTCTCTGCTTTCCGATTTCAGCTAACAATGAAAACCTCTACTTCAGGGTCCTCGGAGCACACGAATGGAAACTGAATCAGACAGAAGGACTCAAAGGGGTTCCTCAGCCTTCCCCTCTCTACCCGTTCACCTCTTTCCAGCTCTCCGGAATCTTGAGTAGCCTAGACTGGACGTGGACTTGCCATGTAGCCAAGGATGATCCTCTGCCTCCACGTCCCCAGTGTTGGGATTATAGGACTGCACCACCACACCAGGCTAGCCTGTAGTCTTCAAGTCTTAGATTATCAATCCTCCCTTTCTTATAGGAGCTCAGCAGCAGACAGATCAGAGTTTTGTTGAAACTCAATAGTGATGTGTCAGTGTGTTGGTCCATCGTGCCTTATCTCTTTCCCTATCCCTATCCTCTGTGGGTCCAGACCTTCTGTATGCTATGTGGGCACTCTGCTGCCAAGGTACATATTAAGTGGGCACTCTACTGTCGAACTACATTAGGTGGGCACTCTGCTGCCAAGGTACATGCTAGGTAGGTACTCTACCACCAACAAGCACCCCAAGCCTTAAGCTAAGTGTTCAGTTATCCTAATTTTTTCTAAGCGTTAAAAATGCTTTCATTTATAGAGGTCTACCAATCTACCTCGGAAAGGGAAATGCTTCCTGATGTTTGAAAATAAATTTACAGCATGCAAAAAAAACAATGCTTAGAATCTTCAAGGATTTTTAGGGGAAGGAGTAGAAACTGTAAAGGAAGGCCCCCAAAATCTCTGCTGAAGATTACATGATATGAAAACTACCCTTTAAAGCGTTTTACCAGACTTGACCACTAGAAGGAGCTGGGCCACTGACTATCTGAGGGTCTCATTTTTTCTGTATGTGTGGTGGTGGTGGTTGGGAGGGGGCTGGGATTGTAAATGTAGAGAGGGTGAACCCTGGTAATAATTTGCACTCTTCCTGTCACTCTAAGATATACTTTGTTCCTTCATGATTTTGGCCTAGAGTGTGAAGAAATGGTTGTCTCCCCTATGGAGTAGGCCAAAAAGGTCAAGCCATGAGGTATTTAGTGTATCTCCTTGAGTTTACCCCAGCTCCTGGTTATCTTAGCCTAGTCAACCAAGGGAGGCTGAAGAAGGCAGTGTCTGCAGCTGCTTTGGGCAGACTGTGCAGGGACAGCTGAAAGAGAAGCCAGCAGGGGTGGGGCTGTGGCTGTCTTAAGTTCTGCGGGTTTTTGTTTTTTTTCCAGGAAATTCTCTACTGTTCTCCAGGGATAGAAACCACCATGAAAATGTCTAAATCTAAAACAAAATCTGTATGCTAAAGTAAGCCCTGTTCTTGGGTGGATGGGTCCAAGCCTCTGGAGGGCACCATAGCAAAACTCTGAATGAAGAGTTCAGTAGGTGTTTCGAAGAAGTGCCTGAGGATGCATCTCCCTGCAAACCACTTCCCAAGCATTCCCTGCACCTTAATCTTAAGAACATCTAAGGATCTTGTCTTACATTCCATTCATTTCTTACATTACTCAAAGTCTCCATGGCCAAAAGGACAAGGCTAGAGAATTTGGTGTGAATTCCTAATAGGAAAATAACCCCAAACATCAGTATTGTTTAATCCTCTGCCATCCCTTTATTCAGTCTTGCTTCTAGGAGTGTTACGTGGTAAAATTGTCTTTGGTCACTGGGAATAGTGGAGGATGTCATGGCGTGGGCAATTCTCAATGGAAGGCATTCTCAAAAGAACGAGTGGCTAGTTTGACAGGAAGCCAGTCCCATCAGGAAGATTCAGCTTCATGGGTTTTTTTGTCTGTTTGTTTTTAGTTATGTTAACCTAGTTTCCTCCAATTTCTCAACAGCTCATGAAAAATTATCAATGAGGAAATGAACAAGAATCTGCCAGGCTGGAGTAGCAGCAAGAGGCAACTATCTGCTGTACTAGACAGATGAGAATTATTGATGTACGAATTCTGTTACTTGATGACAATGATGACTGAGCTAAATGGAATTCACATACTATACATGGAAGCAGGAAGCAGGTCTGGTGGTGCTTGCCTATAATCCTAGCACTCAGGAGGTAGAGACAGCACAAGTTTGATGCCATCCTAGACTATATATCAAGCTCAAGGTCATCTAGGACTATATAGTGAGACCCTGTTTTTAAAAAAAGAAAGTTGCATGGATTGGCATATCAACATTTACAATAATATGACCAGATGTCCAACACCTTTATCAAGGGATGTAGGACTTCCTGTACGCAGTAGGCATCTGTCATAGAATGTTAATTCCTAAAATCTTATCTCACATTTCTAGACTATTCCTCCCACCGAGCAGAACTAATCTCAGAACCAAGCCCCAAGAAATCCAGGAAACTTTTGTCTCAGCCTTGATCTGATGGTGCTGACCTGCTCAGCCTTTGGTAGCATCATTCTGCTCTGCAGATCTGCTGACTAAGCAAAGAGGAAACACAAACAATCCTGAAGGGTGGGCTGTGAGAAACAAGGGACTAGGAAGGTAAGTGAGGCATTCTGGGATGTTTATAAGGGGGAACATGGAGGCTGAGGTATGAAGAAAGGGAAACACAAAAGAGAAGCCTGGGATTTTGCCTGCAAGTGATCTGATCACTTTCTTAGCAGCACTTGTCATCTCCTGTGTACAAACAATGCTCTTTTTGGAAAAATTATGTTCTGACATATACTGTGTGTTTGAAGAGCACAGGTAGGGATAGCTGTGGAGCCATAAAAAGTCCCTCCCTTCTCTGCTGCCCAAACCTCCCACAAAGCCAGGTCTGCCCTGGATCCTGGACTTCTCCTCTTCCAGCCCACACCCAAAGGACTGAGACAAATGACCCTAGTCCTAACCTTTAACCTCTGAGGAGAAGTGAGCTAGGTGCCGGGTAATGAAGAGTCTCAACTGTTGGTTCAAGTCAAAGGATGACAAGTCAATGTTCCAGGAGAGAATCCCTGTGGAAGAAAAAAGAGAGAGAGGGTTCTAGGCAAAGTCATCTGGTGGGACTGCAGAGAGCACTGTCGAGCTCCTGGAAGAGGAGGAGCTACCCTCTGAGGAGGATGGCTAGTACCTGTGCGTATCTCTCAACTGCTCTTTCTCCTTTGTGGGAGCCAGAGGGCAAAGAGCAGGGTTTAGACTGAACTTAGTAATAAATGAGCTTGGAGTTTTTGTTTTGTTTTGCAAGGCTGTCCAGTTGTGGTAGAAGTGACAGCCAAGGGTCTATTCTCACATACAGTTAGTTTTCATAATGATTCCTTTAGCTTAATTAGATTCTATTTTCTCTTTCTCTCCCCCGCCCCCGCCCCACCTCCACCGCTCCTAAGAGGCTTGCTTTCACCCGCAGGTGGCTCCGCAGCACTGCACCACAGGCACAGCTGAAGGAGATGAACCGAGGAGCCACGAAGGTCACTCACTCTCTCAACTTGACTGCCAGCATTCAGAGATTTGTGATGTGTACCCTGCGTTCTGAAAGCTCCCCTTAAGAAGAAACTGTAAGGTAGGGATTTGGACTTTTCAGGGTCTGGTTGAGACACTGCAGGGAAAGGGGTGTGACCAGAGAGACTCCAGGGTCTGCCCTGAGCTCCTGCTTGGGGAGATTGCAGAACAGCATGGGGTATGCGGGAAGGATGGGCAAACAAGATGTTGGCAGCTTGAGAGGACACAGGCGCGTGGAAATCATGCAGGTGACAGGGGCACAGGTCTCGGGAAGTGCACATAGAAATGGAAACTACAGAAGCGTGCACTGGGAGATGAATGCAGGTGGCGGAAAGGTACGGATGGAGTGCTGCAGGACAGCCAGGATAGCGGCTCACCTTGTTCAAGGTGGGCCCTCACGGCCCTCAGCTGACTTTCTGTACCAATGTCGCCGATAACGATGAGCAAGGAGTATTTCCGCAGATCCCAGCGCGCCGCCGCTACCGCGGCACCGGCTTCGCACAGTGGCTCCGCGGGGTTCTGAGCCGGAGATGCGCCGGAGCTCGGAAGCCCCAGCTCCCGAGTTGTCTCCATGGCAACACTGCCAGGCCGCGCGGTCCGGGCCTCGGTCGCCATGGAAACTCCCGCGGAGTGCTAGGCTAGCTGCATCCGCTGCAGGGAGAGTGCGCGTGGTTCTTAAAGGCCGGCGGCAGGAGCAGCTCATTGGCCACTGTCTGTCTGGGGGCGGAGCCAAAGCGCCGCAGGGGCGGGGCCGGGACACAGTCTCTGGGTGGCGGCCGCAGTCATCCACCTGCAGTTTTCCAGACCAAGTTTCTCCCTCCGACTTGAGCTGGGGTACCGGCTCTGCGGGGCCCAGCAGAGGGCGGAGTCCACGGCCTCCGCGCCAGAACACAATCTAGTTAGGCTGTGTCTGCAATGAGCACTGTGTGGCAGTTCCGCAGCCTCGTCCCCAACCGCGGGGAGCCATCTTGCCCCTTGCTGTCTCGCAGTTTCTATAGTGGTCTCTATGTGGGTATTACCGTTGTCTGGATTCCACCTCCCCACTCCCCACTTCGCTGCCTGCCAGGTCGCCAACCTGGGTTTCCTGTCCTTGCCCCGAGTTCTGGGCGTGGTCAGGCAGGCTGCGCAGTAGCGAAGGGGACAGAATGACCTTCCTGCCCTGAGTCCCTAGTGAGTTGTTATTCCAAGGATAGTAGTTGGCTAGTCTCCATCTCTGCTGAGTGCAATGAGCTCAGACTGCAGTAAGGAGATTTGAGTAAAACCCAGGAAAGATCTTCCCAACTGCTAGTGATGTGACACAGTGGATAACCTTAGGAGGCGGTGCAGTTCCTGTACAGAAATGAATTAATATTCTCTCTCTTTCCCTCTCCATCTCTCCCTCTCCCTTCCTTCCCACCCCCATTCTTCAAAATGTCTCCACCACTACAGCATCTCTTTTCCTGATTCATTTTGTTGAATCAGACAGAAGGCCTGTCTCTAGGCTCCCTCAATACTTTTTTTTTTTTCTTCCATTTACCTTGCACTTTGGAGATGGTAAAAGAAAAGAGGGCTGGTGAGATGGTTCAGTTGGTAAAGTCCTCCCCTTGCAAGCATGAGGACCCGAGTTCAGATTCACAGGACTCTAAAGGGCCAAGCACAGTGGTGTGTGCGTATAATGCCAGAGATGGTGAAGTGGGAGGGAGAGACAGATGGGTCCCTGGGAGCTTGCTGGCCCCCCTGGTCTAGCCTACTTGGTGAAGTTGCAGGCCAATGAGAGATCCTGCTGTCTTAATGAAGTAGAGGGTGCCTGACTCCAAGCTGTCCACGTACACACATGAAATCCCACTCCCCACAAAGATAGAAAAGAGTGAAAATACCTGATACAACAAGGCTGCCAGCGAGCCATGCTCTGATTGTGAAGTACCTCACAGAAAATCCTGGCCCTATCAGGAAACATTATAGCTAACCAGCCAGTCCATACTGCAAATCTTTAGACATAGCTGTGAAAATCCTTTTATGTAGCAGAGACATGAAAACAGTACTGTCAGGATATCAGATGGTAGGGTGGCTCTTCACACACACAGCCAGTTGCAGACCTGAATCTGGAAAACAGCGTAGAAAAATGTGCAGTCTTTTTCTACTACAATCATAAAGAGTAGCACATGGAGCAGGGAGCCAGAATGGGGGATTGTGGGGAGAGGAAGGGGACAGTTTCCATAGCAACTGTAGAGATGAGGCTTTTAGCTAGCAGAGGGTCTCTATATAAGGGCCAGCAGCAGTTAAGTACAGAGTCGGCTTCCATTAAGTCTAACAGAGGTTAGACAATAGACGCAAATGGTACAGGAGGGATTTCAATCAGATTAGATATTAGGGGATGACACTTCGGACTCTGATTTCAGACCCTGCTAGAATCAAGTCTTAGTAATTATGCCTGCAAAGGCAAACTGTGATGGTGCTAAAAGCACATGTTCGAGGTAAGTACTGAGTGAGTCCCTTTGCCAAAGGCAGACAATACCTCAGAAAGATTGGCTCCAGGTACCTCTTCGTCATCCACATCTGGGTGATGTTTCCATTATCATCATTACAGTACCAGAAGATGTTTTAAAAGCTGGGTGTAGTGGTGGCCCATATCTGCTGATCGAAATGCAGGAAGACAAAGCAAAAGGATTGCTAAAGTCAGGGCCAGACTGGGCTGCATAGTGAGGCCCTGTCGCAAACAAGCAAAACTCCATCAACAAAAAGATATCTTTTTAAAAATATTTTATTTATTTATTATGTATACAACATTCTGCTTCCATGTATATCTGCACACTAGAAGAGGGCTCCAGATCTCATAACAGATGGTTGTGAGCCACCATGTGGTTGCTGGGAATTGAACTCAGGACCTCTGGAAGAGCGGTCAGTGCTCTTAACCTCTGAGCCATCTCTCCAGTCCCCCAAAAAGATGTCTTTAAGTATTAAATTATACATATAACATTTGCACAAAATGCTCTGTAAAGGAAGCTGGTGTGTTTGCATGTATGCTCCAGTTTTTTTTTAAATGTTAAAAAAAAAAAAATGTTAATGTATACAGTGTTCTGTCTGCATGTATCCCTGCAGGCCAGAAGAGGGCACCAGATCTCATTACAGATGATTGTGAACCACCACGTGGTTGCTGGGAATTGAACTCAGGACCTCTGGAAGAACAGCCAGTGCTCTTAACCTCTGAGCCATCTCTCCAGCCCCAGAGTTTTTGTTTGTTTGTTTGTTTGTTTGTTTGTTTGTTTTAAACAGTCTCTCTACATACCCCTGGCTTGAATGAACCTACTGTATAGACTAGGCAGGTCTCAAACTCAGAGATTTACCTTTCTCTGCCTTCTGAGTGCTGGGATTAGAGGCATGCTCCAATATTCCTGGGAAAATTGTGTGTGTGTGTGTGTGTGTGTGTGTGTGTGTGTGTGTGTACATGGGTTTGGGTAGCCATGAAGGCAAAAAACAAAAACAAAAACAAAAAAACCCTGCTATTAATGTGGTTGTGAACTTCGAGGTGTGGATTCTGGGAATGAACTCTGGTCTTCTACAAGAGCAACAATCGTTCTTAACCACTGAGTCATCTCTCCAGCCCCTATGCCACAGAATTCATTAATTAATCAATTAATTAGTTTATTTGTTTGTGAGACAGGGTTTCTCTGTGTAACAGCTCTGGCTGTCCTGGAACTTGCTTTATTGACCAGGCTGGTCTTGAATTCAGAGATCCAGTCTTGCCTCCTGGTTGCTGGGTTTAAAGGTGTGTGCCAGGACCAAGGAGATGGCTGAGTCCGTGAAGTGCTTTCTGTGTGGGCATGAGAATCAGAGTTTAATCTCCAGAACACACATAAAACACCTAACATGGTGGAATATGCTTGTAATTCCAGCATGTAAGGAGGCAGAGATGAAGGATCCTTTGGTTTTGGTGGCCAATCAACTTAATTTAATTGGTGAGCTCCATGTCCCAGTGAGAGACACTGTCATAACAAAACAAAAACAAAAAAGGGGTTGGGGGTGTCTGTAGAGATAACCCAGGGGTCAGCAGACTGAATAATCTTCCACAGAACCAGGGTTCAATACTTCTACATAATGACTCTATCTGAGCCGGGCAATGGTGGCGCACACCTTTAGTCCCAGCACTCAGGAGGCAGAGGCAGGCAGATATCTGTGAGTTTGAGACCAGCCTGGTCTACAAGAGCTAGTTCCAGGACAGCCTCCAAAGCCACAGAAAAACTCTGTCTCGAAAACCAATAAATAATAATAATAATAATAATAATAATAATAAATGACTCTATCTGTAACTTCAGGGGACTGACACCCTTTTCTAGTCTCTGTGGGCACCAGACTTGCACATACTGTATAGACATACATGCAGACATGCTTACTAGATAGATAAATTAAAAACAAACAAGATAGACAAGAGTCCTTTCCTGAGTAGTTTTATGTCAACTTGACATAAGCTAGAGTGGTTTGGGAAAGATTCTCAATTAAGAAAATGCCTTCATCAAATTTCCCTGTAGACAAGTCTGTGGTGCATTGTCTTACTTAGTGATTGACATGGGAGGACCCAGCCATTGTGGGTGGTACTGTCCTTGTGCAGATGATCTTGGGCTACATAAGAAAGCAGGCTGAGCAAGCTAGTAAGCAGTACTTCTCTGTGGCTTCTGCATTAACTGCTGCCTCCAGGTTTCTGCCCTGTTTTGAGTTCCTGTCTGACTTCCCTTGATGATGGGCTGTGATTTGCAACCGTAAACTAAAAAAAACCCTCTTCTCCCTAAGTTGCTTTTGGGTATGGTGATTTTTCAGTGCAATAGTAACTCTAACTAAGAAAGTCCTCGGGAACAGCACCTGAGGTTAACCTCTGGCCTTCACACATGTGAACATATTCACATCCACCAGGACATACACACATGTACCACACAGAATAAGTGCTATGAAAGCTATTATTACTTCTGGTGTGTTTCAACCAGTTAGGGAAATCACAGCTCAGGCTTTCATCATATACCAATGCATAGTGATGACTTAGTTGATAGGTAAATCAAGCAAGATGGAAGGGGCATCTTGCTAAAGTTTTTCTGGAAATAATTTCTTGCTTGGTAGTTAAGATATTGAAGTTGCAGGGCTGGAGAGATGGCTCAGTGGTTAAGAGCACTGACTGTTCTTCCAGAGAGTCTGAGTTCAATTCCCAGAAACTACATGGTGGCTCACAACCACCTTGAATGAGATCTGATGCCTTCTGCTGGCATGTAGGCAGAAGACTGTATACATAATAAATAAATAAAATCTAAAAAAAAAAGATATTGAAGTTGCCCTCATGAGAAAAATGGAGCTTCATTCTACTTAATTAGACTCACTCTGAATCGTGTGTGTTGGGATGAGAAGCACAAGGTCACCAGGAGACTGAAGCCAGTTCTGGTAATTCTTACATGAGAGATGACTGTTTCTCTCTGACTTCCCGCCTGGTGAGCGTCATCAGTTGTTGTGGGGTTTGAGCTCATGGGGCAGAACTTCAGCCTGCTGTGCTAGGTTGCATGGTTTTATAACCAAAATATCCAAAGGGAGCTCAGATTCCCACCCTGTGCTGGGTTTGGTTCTGCCTGGAAAGCATTCTTTCTACAGGAAGAGCCGTGTCAGATTACAGGATTGCTGTGTCAGAGG